AACAGCAAACAACTGGGTAAAACATTGCTCCATAGTAGAAGTTAGGACTGTGTAGCTTGAAGCTAAATTTGTGTTTGGGTGTTTTTATGGGGTGCTCACACAGAAAGTTGCCTGGCGAAACAAATTGGGTGATGCAAATGGGGCAAATTTGGCAATATGGTTAAACACCCATAGTCATGCTGGATTGTGCTCTCATCTGGAGCGATATGGGCAAGAAGTGAGCTTATTTTTTTAAACTTTTGAAATTAAAAAGTGGATTTATATTCACTTTCTTCTCAACCAGACTGCTGCAAGCCACGGAGGTGGTCACATCAAACTTAAGCAAGGAAGTGCTGAAAATATGTGTCTGTTACTTGAATCCAGCTATTATTCAGAAAACAAGCATTTTAAAAGCTGTTTGCTTGTCATCTTGCGGACAGAAGTATGAATTCAGACTTTTTACAAGTCTGCATCATGATTTTGATCGGTTTATTGCAATTAAATCACAGCAAAATCTGTTAATTTTGGGCTCATACTGCTGTAGTAAGCCAGATTAAAGGTCAAATTTTTGAATTATCCCACGAGTAAACTCAGGCCAAAAATTTGCTTTGCATTTGGTCTGACCGTATTTTAGGTCTGAAGATATTAGGAAGAACCAGTGGACTTGTTCTGTATTGAAAGAACCCCTCATTAAGCACTTACAATAAAGTAAGATGATTACTCTGGCTCTCAGCTCACCTCTGAGTGTTGCTGGCAGTCACAGGACCCTGAAACAGTCTCTCTGGTTGTCCCAGAGGGCTGTCCACAAAAACAGACGAGGTAGAGGATGATGAGCCACTTCTATTTATAATGTCCACTGTGGCCCCGTTACTGTCCCGCTGCAGGGACCGGCGAATCGGGGACATCCTCTCTGGAGACACTAGGCCCACCCCTCCAATGATCTGTCCATCAATCATCTTGACTTCATTAACTCTGTGAGGGGAAGGGGGCGGGGTTTTGGTCCCCAGTGGAGGACGTTGGCTGTCTCCATACTTCCTGCTCTTCGGTCTGGATGGTAGGAAAACAGATGGAACAATGGATGGATTCATACATCAACACCGTCTTCAGTGTGGTGGGTCCTAAAGATACTACTACACACATGTCTGCACATCTTTATTCCAATCAGTCACTACTCCAGCTGATGTCACTGATCAAATATACCCTTTTCACAAGTGTTTCGCAAGTGCTGCACAAGAGGGGGTGGCTGTGGTGCAGAGGTAGAGCGGGTCATCCCCTAATCGGAAGGTTGTTGGTTCGATCCCTGGCCCCACATGTCGAAGTGTACTGAACCCCAAATTGCTCCAGATGCTGTGTGAAGGTGTGTGAATGTGTGTGAATGTGTATGAATGTGTTTGGACTTTGCCATCACTGAGTGTTTGAAAGGGTGAATGTGGCATGTAGTGTAAAAGTGCTTTGAGTGGTCGGAAGACTAGAAAGGCACTATACAAGTACAGGTCCATTTACCATTTACAAGTGTAACTAATAACACTAATAATGTCTCCATTCCATTCAGTGTCCCAGTAAGCCATGTCAGTGAGTGAGCATTATGGGCTGATATTTGTGTCAGTAGAAACTGAATTTGAATCATTTAGAGCTGAATCTGAATTGCCCAACTTGAATAATTGCATTAAAAACCTGAATTTGAATTGCATAATTTGAATTTGTATTGTTTAACTGGTTGAATCAACCCCTCAAAAACTCATAAGAAAAATGTTTTAATTTGAGGTAACAGGGGGTCAGGTTGCGAAACTTATCTTTTGCCCCATTATTTCTTGATGGAACTGGGGCCTCTTCTTATCCCAGGTGAAGGTCGGCCCCTCCCTTGGGCTGGCTGGTTGGAAAGGAATGCAGCGGCATTACTCTGCACCTCGAGTTGCCTTTCTTTCCTAAGGTTTGACCCCGTCTGTGACCTTAAAGTTGTATTTTGGGTGGGTTTGAAATTGATTGACGAGAATTTTTTTATTTATTTGCCCGAGCTTTTGTTGACCTGGCCCCCCTGAATTTTGAATTCTAGAGATCTGAATTCTGGAATTGAGCGGACTGACCCTGGAATCTTGATTTAGAGAGTTCTGAATTTGCAAGTTGACGCGATCCTTGAATTTGAATTGAGCCCAACCTGAATTTGAATTTAGGAGATCGAATTTTGGAATTTGGAGCAAACCTGAATTTTGAATTTTTAGGGCCAGATCCTGGAATTTGAATTTAGAGATCTTTTTGATTTTCTGAATTTGTTTAGAGATCTGAATTTTAAGTCATAAAAAGTTGCAATTTTTAGTGGGAGTGCCTCAAATTCAGTTTTTCAAAATAATAAATTCAAATTCAAATTAATGCCTATTCAGATT